CAAGACGGGTTTAGTCTTGTTCCTAAAAAGTTTCTGGCATGCCTGAGGGGTTCCTTACCAGCCCTTTCCTGGAACACAAGAGAATGGATTGTCGATTATCTTCTGCTTCCAGTTTCTTATAACTAAAATACTTCTTCCATTTTTTAGTGTCTACACATTAAATAAGAAGAGCACATAATAATAGTTAAGGGTTTTTTTTCCTAGGGATTTGCTTATTATTTAACCTGAGAGTCCTTAAAATAAGTTTGTGCTTCTGCTTCAAGAGATTTTCTTTGTAGATAATATCTAACTGTGGTTGGAAAATAATTGGAAGAATGTTTGGGGGCTTACTGATTTTCCCTCCTAAATATCTGAAATGTAGAATTATGGGAAGGGAGAGACCTCTCACAGCCTACTCATATCTCTGCCTCACATTGTTTCCTGGAGAACCATGTCTGTTACTGGATCCATCTTATTTAAGGTCACACAGGGATTCATGGTCTTACATGTGTAGTAACTTTGCTGCAGGTCATGTGAAACAGGCTGGAACTCAACAGAAGTAAAACTTGAGGAGCCAGATATTGAAGTAGATTTCTATATGCTTCCAAAAAAAGACCTGACTTTAGATACTAGTCAGAATTCATAATGACCACTTCAGGTAGATAAAGATGTGTCTAAAGATGCTGTTATCTAAAGAGATATTACATCTTTATCCATTGGGGAAGGAGCAAAGACGATGATGATGATTCTTAAAGTTTCTCTCTTAGCAGGCTGTCTTCCCTGAAGACACATTCTAAATGCAAACTTCCCAAATCACCATCCTTTTCTATAGAAAGAGAGCAGACACCAAAAGGAGGCTTAATGTAAGCCAAGTAGAATTCTATGGATTGTAAACTCTGAGAGCAGAGACCATAACCTCAACATCTAGTTCAATGTCTTATATAGATGCTCAATAAATATTGGTTCAATATATTTGAGTGACTGAGTAAATGAAAGATTCTAGGTTTTCTGGTAGTAGGAAAAAATCTCCATAGATACAGAAAAGTGCACAAATCGTAAATTTGGTGAATTTTCACCAAGTGAACATACTCGTGAACCTAGGACCCAGATGAAGAAATAGAACAAGACTGTCCCTCAGATGGTGTGCCAGTCGTAGTCACTAGTTCTCCAGGGGTAACTACTCTCTGACTTCCAATGCCATGCTTCTGTTGTGCCCATTTTTGAACTTTAGATAAATATGTAGTCTCCCAGGGCTTTCCCTCCTCTTTACGTCAGTGAGATTCAACATGGTGTTGGGAGCAGTAATAGTTCATTTATCCTCATTGCACCAAGTCCATTGTATGATTACACCACAGTTTATCTACTCTCCTGTTGACGGTTTCTTGGGTTGGTTCCAGTTTGGGGCCCTTACAGGTAGTGCTGCTGTGAATGTTTTTGTACCTGTCTTTTGGTAAACGAACATAGGCGTTTCTCCTAGGTGCATACTTAGGGGTAGAATTACAGCGTCATAGCGTTATGTGAATGTTCCACTTTGGTAATACTACCAAACAGTTGTCCACATTACACCCCCACTAGCTGAGCTCTTGGTGTGGCTCCTTCTCACTTGACGCTCCGTGTCTTTCTCACTTTAGGTACTCCGGTAGGTGAGTGGTGGTATCATATTGGAGTTTTAATTTACATTTTCCTGATGACTCATGAAGCTGGGCATTTGTTCACACTTATTTGGCTATCCTCTTTTGTGAAGTGCCTATTCTAGTGTTTTGCTCATTTTTCTATTGAATTGTCTGCTTTTCTTACTGGATTCCTCATATAGTCTGAATACAGGTCCTTTGTCGGATAATATGTAATGCAAAAGTCTTCTGCATGGGGGAGCTGTCATTTCCCTCACTGGATGGTGTCTTTTGATGAAAAGACATTCTTAATTTTACTGAATCTAGTTTGTGAATTTTGTCTTTATGGGTAAGCAGCTTCTGTGCCCTGTATTGGAAAGGTTGCCCACCACAACTTCATGGAGTTTCAGTTTTCCACTGGTGTTGCAATTAGAATATTAAGGCAGAAAGGATCCTTCATTCCAGTCTGTTGGTTCTTAACCTTCTGCAAATCCTAGCTCCCTGTGAAAACCCGACGAAAACTACCGTCGGCACAGAAGTGAGCACATCCACGCACACAGCATACTTTCTGGTTTCCTCCTAACTTTCCTGCAGTCCGATGTTGAAACCTGCCCACGGCCCCTTGTCAGGGAACCCCAAACTAGTCCAGCCAGTCTTTTTACAGATGAGGAAGTCGAGGCCCAGAGAGGGTGCGTCATACTGTAAGTTTGTGGTCCAGTTGGGACTAGAATTCAGGTCTCTTGACTTCCCTTCGAGTCTGTCTTTCTTTCTTTCTTTCTTTCTTTCTTTCTTTCTTTCTTTCTTTCTTTCTTTCTTTCTTTCTTTCTCTCTT